CCGAATAAGGACAACACAAAAAAGGAAAACTATAGGCCAATCTCCCTAATGAACACTGATGCAAAAATCCTCAATAAAATTTTAGCTATCAGAATCCAACAATGTATCCATAAGATAATTCACCACGACCAAGTTGGATTCATTCCAGGGGCACAAGGATGGTTTAACATCCGAAAATCAATCAACGTTATCCAACACATCAACAAAAAGAAATATAAAAACCATATGATAATATCAATAGATGCTGAGAAAGCTTTCGACAAAGTGCAACACCCATTCATGATAAAAGCCCTTGAAATTCTTGGGATACAAGGAACATACCTCAACATCATAAAGGCCATCTATGACAAGCCAACAGCCAGTATCATTCTCAATGGTGAAAAGCTGAAAGCAATTCCATTAAGATCCGGAACAAGACAAGGATGTCCACTCTCACCACTGCTTTTCAATATAATACTGGAAGTCCTAGCCAGAGCAATAAGACAAGAGAAAGACATCCAAGGAATCCAAATAGGAAAAGAAGAAGTCAAACTATCACTATTTGCAGATGATATGATAATATACATAGAGAACCCCAAAATCTCCACAGAAAAACTAATTCAACTCATCGGTCAGTTCAGTAAAGTGGCAGGATACAAAATCAACATGCAAAAGTCAGTAGCCTTCCTATACACAAACAATAAATCTGAAGAAGAAGAAATCAAAAAAACCACCCCTTTTATTATTGAAACAAAAAAAATCAAATATTTGGGAATAAATCTAACAAAAGAGGTAAAGGACCTATACAAAGAAAACTATAAAACACTGTTAAAAGAAATAGAAGAAGACACAAAGAAATGGAAAGACATCCCTGCTCATGGATTGGAAGAATAAACATTATTAAAATGGCCATCCTACCAAAAGCAATATACAGATTCAATGCTATTCCAATCAAAATCTCAATGGCATTCTTCAAAGAAATAGAACAATTATTGATGAAATTCATATGGAATCACCAAAAACCCCGAATAGCCAAAGCTCTACTGAAAAAAAAAGAAGGAAATGGAGGCATCAAACTCCCAGACTTCAAACTATACTACAAAGCCATAATCATCAAAACTGCATGGTATTGGAACAAGAACAGACATACAGACCAATGGAATCGAATAGAAAATCCAGAAATAAACCCACAGATTTATGGTCAACTAATCTTTGACAAAGGAGCAAAGACTATGCATTGGAGCAAAGAAAGTTTGTTCAATAAATGGTGCTGGGAAAACTGGGTCGCTACATGCAAAAGAATGAAGCTTGACCACTACCTCACACCATACACAAAAATCAACTCAAAATGGATTAAAGAACTAGACATAAGACCTGAAACCATAAAATACATAGAAGGAAATATAGGCGAAACACTACGGGATTTGCACATCAAAGACATCTTTACAGACACATCACCCAAAGCAGTGAGAGTGAAGGCAAAGATAAACAGCTGGGACTACATCAAATTAAAGAGCTGCTGCACAGCAAAAGAGACAATAACAAAAACAAAGAGAAACCCCACCAACTGGGAGAACATTTTTGCACCCAACACTAATGATAAAGGACTGATCACAAAAATCTGCAAAGAGCTGATGAGACTCAGCAACAACAAAGAAAATAATCCAGTCAAAAAATGGGCAGAAGAGCTAAAAAGAAACTTCTCTGAAGAGGAAATGCAAATGGCCAACAGACATATGAAAAAATGTTCAACATCACTTGCAATCAGGGAAATGCAAATCAAAACTACCATGAGATACCATCTCACACCAGTGAGAATGGCACATATTAAAAAAACTAGCAACAACAAATGTTGGCGAGGATGTGGAGAAAAAGGAACTCTTCTGCACTGTTGGTGGGAGTGCAAACTGGTCCAACCACTATGGAGAGCTGTGTGGAGATTTCTGGACCTACTAAACATAGAGCTTCCATATGATCCAGCAATTCCACTCCTAGGTATTTACCCAAAGGACACAGAAACATCAATTCCAAAGAGCACCTGCACCCCTATGTTTATAGCAGCACTGTTTACAATAGCTAAGCTTTGGAAACAACCCAAATGCCCAAAAGTAGATGACTGGATCAAGAAGATGTGGTACATATACACCATGGAATATTACTCAGCATTCAAAAAAGATAAACACATGCAATTTGCAGCAACATGGATGGCGCTGGAAGGGATCATGCTCAGCAAAATAAGCCAGAAAGAAAAAGAAAAATACTGGATGGTCTCACTCATAGCAGGAATCTAGAAAACTTAAATAAGGGACCAGGAAAATGAATAACTATAAGAAAGTGAAAATCAAAATCAACAAAAAACTGTGAACCAGAGACACTTTTTTGGGGTGTGGGGGGCGGGAGGTAAGGGATTGGGGTCAGAATGGGGGGGTTGCAATTGTATGGAGAATATAAAAATAAAATTTATTATAAAATAAATAAATAAATTAGCAGTATCAAAAAAAATAAATAAAGGATACAAATAACACCAACCTTAAAGAAAACAATTCCTAAGGGTTCTGCATTAAAATTAAGATATTCTGACCCCACCAAGAAAAAAAATGTCATTAAGAGAGTGAAAAGTGAGATACTAAATGGAAAGGATGATTGTAGCATGTTATGACCAAATGTATTTTCCAAGCATGGTCTCAACAATATCTCCCATCACAATACTCTTCCACACTGTGACTTTACCTCCTCTATACAAAAGCTGGTGAGCGCGACCCCTGGGCAGGTTGATTCTTTGAGACCATACACACAGCTTCCATCTGGTTCTCTTGGGTTGCTTGTTCTGGGAAAGCCAGCTGCTGTGCGAGGATTTCAACTACCCTGAGATTGCCATCCTGGAAAGACCATGACTGGGTACGATGGCTAATAGTTGACAACTCAACACCATCCACCCAACCCAGTCAAGCCTTCAGATAGCCAGCAGCATCTAAGTGAGAGATCCCAAGCAAGAACTACCCAGCTAAGACCTTCTCAAATTCCTGTCTTGCAAAAGCATGAGCAAAATAAAATGATGGTTGTCTTACAGCACTATGTTTTGGAGTATTTGTTACACGCAGAAATAATAAGCCAGAACCAGCAAAGGACTGATATCCAGAATACATAAAGAATTTCTACAAATCAGTAAGAAAAAAGACAGACAATGGGTGGTAAATTCAAAAAGATTTTAATTCTAAATCATCGAATATAAAAATATGCTCAACCTCAATAGCAATTAGGGAGATTTTAATGAAAATCATATAAGATACCACCACAGACTAACAAGAATAGCTAAATGTAAAAAGTCAAAACTGACAGCACTTTGACAGTGTAGATGTGGAGCGCCAGGAACTAGTTATATGAAATGCAGAACTCTTCAGTAATGAGAAAACAATTGGCACTGTCTACCAAAATTGAAGATACACTTACTATGACTTAGCAATGTCACTCTTAGACACATATCCTAAAGAAAAGAGCCCATATACACCAAGAAACAAAGCAAAAGAGTTCATAGCAGCAAGTGTTGGAAAGTGGTAGCAACTCAAACCTCCATCAACAGTAGATGGACAAAAAAAATGTGGTGTATCACACAGTGGGAGACTATGCAGTAATGAAGAGCAAAGCACAGGTTATCATTATGGTGGCAGTACAGAGAATCTCACAAAAGATGCTTAAATATATATTTTATGAATTCATTGAAATAGGTCTTTAAAAATAAGCAACCCAGGGCCTCCCCGGTGACGCAAAGGTTGAGCGCTGGGTTGCGAAACTGTCCGCAGCCTCTGCAGCGCTGGTTTGATCCCCGGCTGCTCCCCGCTCTGGCTCTGGTGAATTCTCTCACCCTCCCACGCTTCTGACTGTACCCAGTGCTTGTATAAATATATAAAAATAAATCTTTAAAAAAATTAAATATATAATAAAAATAAAATAAAAATAAGCAAAACATATGAGGTATATTAGTGACATTCGGTACCCCTTGATTTTGGGGTGGAAACATAGGTTTAAAATTTGCATTTATAATATGTTGGTATATAATTTCCATGTGTGTGTTACTAATAACAAAAAAAGTTAATTTTTAAAAGTAAAATTATATTGGAAGAAAATATTTAGTTGAGAAAAAATCTGACTTCATTTATTTGGTTACCTTACTTCCCCAATATCGCTCATTAAATCATCTAGACTATTCCCACTGATTTGTGAATCCACCTTAACAATGTATTCAGTTCGCATTGCACTTGAGTTGGTAACGGTTGTATCAACAGTGGCTTTGGCAAGCGTGAAGGGAACGTGGAAGGGCAGGATGGGGGGAGTGCGCCTGCAGAGGAGGGTGGCTGCGATAGTCATCCATGGGATTTATTTTTAAATAGGAAAATTCTAGAGACAGAACTGAAAAGAGAGAGGAAGTCTGTGGAAGGGTTGCCAAGTCAGCGAGTAAAGTGTCACCTGATAAAAGGGCTTATAAATGAGCTCAGAGCAAAAATATTTGGGGGAGATCTAAGGAGGAGGTCGTGCCTGATGGGTGGAGGCTGGTTTTACTGGGTGCCTGGCCCAAGGGTACAGCCTCCATGAGCACCACGTAAGTGGTAAGATAAAGTTTGCTGGGTGTTTTCAAAGACTGAACACACTGCTTGATTGTATTTGCTTTTTTTTTTAAAGTTTAAACATAACATTCATTGTTTGAAGGAAATGACAGAAAAACGCTCACTGCCACATTTTGCCCAGCCCTGACTGCTGGACGCCGGTCCCGCTTGAGTTCACGACGAAGGACGCCGGCGCTACGCCCTTCTGCGCGCCCGGGCGGCCCGGGGCGCTCCGCTCGCGAGGACCCGCACTCGCGGCCGCGGGGCTGCGCGTCCCCCGCACCCTCTTCCCGGGACTGGCTGCTCCCGGCTGGGGGAGGGGCCCAGCGGTGGGGGGCGGTCCGAAGAGCCTCGCCCCGCCCGGGAGCCCCGACCCCGGCCCCGCCTGAGCCCGCGCCGCGCGCCCACATTCCGAGCGGGGAGCCGCGGCGCGTGGGTCTGCCCCGCGCGCTGGCCGGAGATGCAGCCGGCGCCGCGCCCTGCCTGCGCCTGTGGCTCTGCCTCGGACTCCTGCACGGTGAGCGTGTGAGCCCCGGGCCGGCGGCGAGGGGACGCGCGCTCGGGGCGAGGGGTGGGAGCGCACCTGGGCGAACGGGCAGGGAACTTGGCCGCCGAGTCTGGGGTACCAGGGCAGTCGGGGCCGGGGCCGGAGGGCACGGGCTCCGCCGGGAGCGCCGGGCGTCGGGCTCGCCCCCGCCGGGGGAGGACGGAGCGGGCGGGGATGCGGCCGGGTCAGGGACTCGGCGCCGGGGCTGCGCCGGAGCTCCGGGATCACGCTCTGGGCTCCCGACCTTGCTTGCCCGTCTGCGGCTCGCGCGGGCGCCGAAGGAGCTGTATCCTCAGCCTGGACCCCTCGTCCGTTCCCCGCTTCCCGGCGGAGTCCTGGAGCCTCAGTGCCGGCCCTTTGGACCCGCGCCGGGGGTCGTGCCCCGCGTGCAGGCGGCCGTCCCGACGCCACCCAGCGCCCTCGAGGCCGGCCCCAGAGGGCGCTCCCGGCGGGCGTCCGCCTTCCGCCGGCCGGGTCTGCACGGGCAGGGCCCGACCCTCGGAGCCTGGCGCCCTGGGCGGCTTGGGCGCAGGTGCGTGATGGAATTTGAGGCGAAAGAATCTGAAGTGGGCAACTCGTGAATGAGCGGGGCGAAGGGGCAGAAGGCCTGGCTGCCAGCGTTTGAAGGGCGGGAGCCCTGAGGACAGATGTGAGGAGCCCGATCATAAGGCTGGACTCTGCCCGTGGTGCCGGGAACATGAAGGCCTCCCTGCAGGTCACCGCGATGGGACTAGGGGGGGGGAGATAGAGTGTGGGATGAAAGAGGAGTCATGGAAGACTGTTTGCATGAGGATGGCAGGGATAAGCATCAGAGGTGGAGGAGAGAGGAGCTGGGGGTTCATACAAGATCTGGCCACCCTGAATCAGAGGGTGGAGGGAGAATCGTGGGCGCCCTGTAGCTGGGGAAGGAGAGCTGGGAGATGTGAAAGGAGAGAGGGAGACCTCTCTGTTCTTGTCACACTGCGGGCGTTGGATACTGACTTCACATGTTTCATCTTTTAATTCCCACCAGAGACCCATTTTACAGATCAGGACGTTTACGTCAAGGACACATAAAACTTCCCCCAGAGACTCCAGGAGGCCAGTAGTAAGGGAAACAGTCAATCCAGGTCTTTGGGATAATAGAGCCCTGTTCTCTGTGCCTTTTGGGCTGAGGGACTGGCACAGGGGAGGTGTGGGTGAGAGGAGAGGCAGGAGGAGAGAGGAGAGCATCTTCTGTCTGGGCCTCCAAGTTGGGGCAGGTCTGGGCAGGGGGCTTCAACTAGGCCATTTCTCCTTCCCCTTCACCCAGGCCAGAGTCAGGCACTCACAGGAGCTCAGTGTGTGTTTGTTGAGTGACTGAATGAATGGAGGAGAAGTGAATGGGTCCAGGTTGAACTGCAAGGCTGATAGACTTGCCTGCCTTGAGGAGATATCTGGTAGGCAGCTGGGTGTTGTTTCTGAGGCTCAGGAGAGAGGTGGACTGGGGAGCTGGACAGGGAGCAAACCAAACAATCCAATAAGGGATCCCCATGTGCACACTGGGAGGAAGCCAGAGAGGGAGAGGCTTCTAGGGAGACAGAGAACATTCCTCAGGGTTAAGGAAACCAGGAAAGGCTGTTGTCCTGGTGCTTCCTGGAGCCAAGTGGGAGATAGAGGTGGGAGGAGTGTGAGTGCAGGTGATTCTTACAACGTCTGGTTGCAGAGAAAGGAAGCACGATGTCAACCGCAGGGGCCCATGGAGAAGGGTGACCCAGGCAGGATCAGGGGATGACTGGTAGGGAGAAGCCAATGGGGTGAAAACCATCACTACCCTCCCTGAGCCCTACATTTCCCTCCTCCCCACTGCTGGGTGGAGGAGGACCCAGGAGCTCATGGCCTGAAGGGGGGTACTGGAAACGAAGCATAAACACTTCCATGCAGAGTATGAGGCCAGGTGCTGGCAGGTGAGAAGCCTGGGGACCTGAAGTTGAGTGCTCAAAGGTGTGCTGTTGTTCCTATTGATAGAATCAGACTCTTGTCCAACCTCTGCCCCTAAATTCCTGCCTGAACCCCTTTATTCCTCTCCCACACCTGTTTCCCCATGTGTAGCAGTGCAGCAGGGTGGTGAGCACAGAGAGACAGTGCTTGGGCTCGATTTCATGACACGATGTCCTGGTCTAGTTCCAAAAAGGCTTGCCCTGGAAGTGTCCTTACAGAGAGGTCAGTGGCAGAGGTCAGCCTCAAGAGGTTGGTCTAGAGGGGAGAGGATGTGCCTCTGGACAGTGGGTAGTCAGCTCAGGATCACGCAGGGGAAGCAGGTGACTGCAGGCAGCTGGGCTGGCCTGGCTTGAGGATGATGGCTCCTTCTGTGCACTGGCTCACTTACGGCCGTCCAGCTTTCCACCGTCCCTTCTCCTCAGCCCTGAGTCAAACCCAAGTGTAGACAGAGACCTGGGATGGGGGTGGGGAGATGCTATAAGTCAGTGCAAGCAGCATATGGGAGCAAGAGCCATACCCATCTGATTTGGCCCCCAGCTCAGCACTCTAAGGTCTCAGGTGCAGGTGAGGCTCATGTGCCCACCGTGCTGGAGGCAGGGGGTCAGCACTGCTGCAGAACTCTGCTGCCTGCTCTGAGCAGTGCCTACAGGGCTAGGTGGGAGCAGGTGTGGCAGTCTGTCAAACTCCTCAGTCTGCCATCCTCACCCTGCCCCCAGGAAGTGACACCCTGACCCAGGAAAGGGAATTGTGGTTCTGTGCAAGTCCAAAGTGTGCTGCTCCCAGAGGCTGGGAGAATTTGGACCCAGTCTGCCCACAGGGGTCTCCTGAGTGCTCCCTGGGCAGGGACACTGACGTGCCATAAGACATCTGTAGCCTAGGGACGGATGTGCTCAGTGACTCTGTGACTGCGGTGTTTTCCTCCCCATGGCAGATTTTTCTCCAGGAGGGCCTGGCCTGTGCCTCCCAGTCCTCTGAGATGCCCCAAGGAAAGAGGAGGGAGTTGGTCAGCAGAGGGGTCAAGAGAGCCTCTCACACTCCCTGCATCAACCTCTGAGTGAGACGCAGCTGACATGGCCAGCTGGAGCCAGGGATTCCTGAGTTTCAATCCTTTTCAGACACTGGCTTCCTCTGGGATCTTGGTTTTCCGGAGAAGTCTGGGAGGAGGAAGGTGCGGGCATTCATTGCTGGCAGAGGCTGAGGCTGGGTGGGGCGGACATCAGGCACGCCTCAGCCTGGCTCCCGCGCCCCGGGCCACCCCCACCCCTGAGACCAAACCAGGGTGTGGGTGGCCTGTGAGCAGGGCCAGGTCAGGGTGACGAGTGGGGGAGCCCCGCCACGTGGCCAGCGAGGTCAGCAGGGGTTCATGGGAAAGGACTTGTCGGCCACAGGAGAGGACATCCTGCCTGCATTTCCCTCTTCCTGCAGCAGGAGCCCATGGCCCCGATTTAGCAGCTCTGGGGGGCCACCTCTGAGCCAGCTGGACTGTCTGATAACACCACCCGTCCTGCCACTACAGAGCAGTGATGACCCCAGGCGGGCCAGGACGACCCCCTGGCACAGCTGGCTGTACCCATAGCTGCACCGTGAGCCCAGCATCTGCCAGGGTGCCCCTCTTCCCCATCTCACCTCTAGAGGGTGCTCGGGCAGCCCATGCTCCCACACTCCCTCTCAGCCTCACCATCGCTCCCTGCTTCCCCAAATTTGCCTCAACTCCCCACAGGGACTTCAAAACACATATCCGAGCCCTCAGTGCTCCCTCAATGACCAGTGTCTGCTTCCTGGGCATAGGGCAGGAACCCTTCCTGCTGAGGCCAAAGGCATATCTAACCGTATGTCCACCCAGCCCCAGTGCAGGCCCTTCCTCCTGCTCCAGCTAAAGCACTGCCCATCTCCCTGCAGAGGACGGTGCTGTCCAAATAGGCAGGGTCTACTAGGGCTGGAGGAGCCGAGCACCATGGGAGCTGGGCTTTCAGGTGAGCTCAGGGGAAGTTTTTTTCCTCACCCAACCTAGAGCACCATCCTCAAAGTTACCTTGATTCTAACAAATGGCATTTATACTGAGCAGCAGGCATGCACACACACACGCACAGGCACACTTGGTGTGTCGGAGGGAGCCTCACCTTGGTCCAAAATGGTCAGTCAAATTGCTTCACACTCAGGTGTATGAAATACAAGCCTTTTTGGTGCATAGCAGTGCACCGGTCCCAGATGGCATGGACGCCACGAGGGGAGGAAGGGCATGTGGCTGTCCACATTCTCCAGGAAAAGGTCTGGAGAAGTGGATATGTGGCTCCTAGATGTATGGCCATTTTTATCTGTTGCCCCAGAGCCTTTAAAAGCAGGATGCCCCACAGAAAACCCCCTTCCCCGAGTCTACCTCTGCCAGGCTTGGTGCAGGACTCCTCTCTCTCTCACGTCCACACCTGCCCACATGCTGTGCGCCATCCCTTTGCTCTCTGCATCCTTACAGCCAGTCAAGGGCAGTCAGGAGCCAAGCCCCATGCTGGTGAAGCGCCATGGAAAAACGAGTGCCAGCCCTCATCCTTGCATTAAGGATGCACAAAAATGCACAGAGGGACACTGGAAAGGGGAACTGAAGCCAGTATAGACAGGTGGCAAGGATCTCAGATTCCACCCCCAAGCAGCAGAGAGGCAGGGAGTGGTTTTAGGCAAAGGAGAAACTTGTGTCCTGGAAAGCTCACGTGGCCACTGAGTAAGAGCTAGGCCAGTGAGAGACACTGGGGGACAAGGAGAGGGATATTGTGGCAGAGAGACGGGAGAGGGACATCCCCGAGATGTGTGTGGGTGGTTGTCTGGCTAGAAGGCATCACTGCCAGGCGTCTGTACACCGTGAGTGGCAGGCACTCTGCTGGGGTAGCAGGGAGAGGAAGGCCGCTCCCCATCGGTGCTGGCTCTGAGAATAAATGCAGCTTTGATGACCAGTTGGCTGTGGGCAGTGTGTGGCGTCAGGAATGACTGGCAGGTGAGTGCCACTGAGAGGGCAGCTCTAT